TAAGTGGTCACTATCGATAGAACCCTTTACATTTTCATTGTGCTGCCGGAAAGACAGGGGAACTTTCACATTTTCCCAATGACTGAGATGTATTTCCTAACTTAGATGTACTCAGTCATCTTTGTTATGATAATGTAAATCCATCCTTAACATGTGAGCCACTCAGCCAGTTTCTGATATTGACCTACAAATAATTTTGGGCAACTCTTTTTTCAGAGTAAATCTCAAGAGTACAGAACTGAAGCAGGAGAGGTTCTGGCTGTATGAAAGAAAGAATATGATGAGGTCCATCAAGCAGGACCAGAACCCTGGGAACTGTTTCACCAGTGAAACTGTGCAGTCACTGCCAGGGACAGAGGCAGAAGAAAAGTCACGTCTTGGCCTCTTGACTGTGTCTTTCCATTCTGTGGCCTTGTTGTTTCTGACCGCAAGACTAAAAAAACTCTCCGTAACCTGACAGGGCTCTATGAGGTGTGTTTTGCTCAAAGCCAAACCAGAGACTGTGTCGTTCCCTTTCAGGAAGCCCTGCTTGCAAGCTGCTGAGCAGAGCACACCCTCGCTTCTGTGGTTCCCTCCCCCTCGCACACCGCCTGCACAAACACAGCCAAGAAGACAGGAAACATCTGCAAGGTGCTCCCCCCACCAGCCTCCCTCTGCCCCAAGGCAATTGCTGCCCTGGGAGACTGTTTCACAGACTAGTTCAGGCTGGAGCTCATCTGCTCCAACCCCACTGCACAGGGAGGGCCAATTGGAGCTGGTTACCCAGGACCATAGAAACCCACTACAGCTACGTACACAAAAAAATACAGTTTTGGGTACACATCCGTCAATCTGAGATGCTGGAAGAGATCAGCAAATCCCCATCATCCCTCGGAGCTCGGTCTGCTCTCACCTCAGCAAGATGAGGGTGAAAGTGATGAACTGACTGGACGTGGGTCTGCTTGGACCTGAGGAGCTTTGGCTCATACATTTCATGAAGTCATCTTAGCAAGAAATTCCTGTGACCGTAAAACCCCTGTGACTCAATTTGCTGCTGAATCTCTCACCTTCCTGGAAATCTACCCAGTCAGGCCTGGAGCGTGGTCTTAGAGGGGCCAGAGCACAGTTTGGAAGAGAAATGTAATTTCATTGGAATGTGCTTATCCTCAGGGAAGTTTCCAAAGGCTTGATGTGTTTAATTGCTCTAAATGGGCCCTGGACAACTGACCTGGCTGACAGTTTCTGCTCCACAATGACTGCAGGGCAATTAAGCACCTGAAAGAAATGTCCTGGCTAATAAACCTGAAAATCACCATGTCTGTGAACACATGGGTGGGACAGACCTCATGTGGATGAGACCCGGACCCTTCTGGGCACACCCAGACCCTCTGAGTGACAGCCCAGGACATCTCTACTGCCATTAGAGGTTTGTGTGTGAGCAGCTGAGTCACGTACCCTGTTTCCAATAAAAAGAGAATAATACTGTTACAATTAAAACATCTTAACTTTTTCACTTTTGGGGTCAGTCCTTTCCCTTGAGAGAGGGATCTGATCTCACAGTTTGGAGAAGTTACACTAATAAGAAAATAAGCCATGCAAACCACAACTCCTCATTATGATACAAGCTCATCAAGTTGCGGTTAATTGTCACAGCCCTATAACTCCCCCTCTGAGACACTTGCTGTAAAACAAGCAAACTTACTTGTGAGAACAGAGCAGGACAATCACTCATGGCCAGAGCAGCCAGGAAGGTCCACCAGCCCTCTCAAACCTCCCACAAACTGTGACCCTGGTTTGACCTAATGCCTGTACATCCCCCAAAGGGGTACAGCCAGAAGAACCCAAGGGGTCTGTCCATCCTCCCATGTGTCCCCAGATGTCCCATGTTGCACAGCAGGGTGGGAGGGACAGTTCAGAGCTGTGGGACAAGGAAAAATGCAAATAATCTCCCTGGGAGACTGCTCTGTGGTGGCTTCATTGTCAGCGTTTGCACTTGTGTCTGCATCGTGCTGGGCAGAACTGGGGTTGGCTCCTGATATGGGGACCTGCACTTGCATTTGTGCTGCAGAGAAACAGCAAGTTGGGTTATTTTGTTCTCCTCCAGGCACCTCATGGGAAGAAGAGGCACCCTCAGATGGACAACCTCAGGGGAAAAAAGAGAACACCCCCATTTCTGAAGATCAGGGATCTCTGGTAAGACTGGCTCATACATCAAAAAGCACCAGCTCAATGCAGCCAAAGCCATGGGGAGCCCCAAACACCTGCATTTGCCTTTCAGGAAAACTTTAGAATATGGGACAGTCTAAGGCAATCAGGGCAAGGAAGATTTGGGTCCCCCGCCATCAGCATTTTAAATGTCACCCACAGGTCCCAGAGAGTGAGAGTCAGCACAACATCCCAGCCCTCAGCACCACAAGAAAAACCATTGTTTCCTATTCTATTGTCAATTTAATGAAGAGCAATACGGAGTAGAAACTTGTGGGAGTGGTGAAACAAGGCAGTGGTCACTGCAGAAGTTGTGGGTGTATTTCCTTGGCCCAGGTTGATCGCCCTGATGGCTCCCCTGGGGAAGGGATGGAGCCCGTGGCACCGCAAATGTCATGCTCAGGTGGGGTTCTTGGTCTTGGTGAATTTCCCAGCCCAGACTTATCTGACTCTCACTGTCAGGGTTTGCATGGAGCAAAGCAGGGCTTTCACTGACCAGCTCTGCTGTTCTCCTACCCTCAACCTTCTCCCTCTTCACAGAATCCATGAGGTTTACTGAAACTCAGGTCAGATGTTCCGGTATTATTTTGGACCAGAGTGTTTGGGAAGTCCCAGTCTGTGCTGTGGTTGATGGTGGGGGGTTTCCCCTCCTCCCCTGCCTCACCAAGGCCTGGCCTGAGGAAGGGGTACAGCTTGGTTGACCCTTCAAGGCCTTTGATGGGGATTTCCAGGATGCAGCCACAAGTATTAATGCTATAGAAGGAGAGCGTGCTCTGCTCTAAGTCCAGGTACAGCCCAAACGCTGGTATTTGGACACTGCTCCATGACAGTATCTTGTCATTGACCTCCTCAGGCCAGTACTCCCCACTCACCCTTCTCAGCAACCAGACCCCATCCTCAGGGAGCTCCTCCCACCTCCTCTCTTTCAGTGTCCCCTTCACAGGCTCCGTCAGCACCCCAAGCTCCCAGTTCAGACCATCTCCCACCAGCACCTCCCAGTAGTGCTGCCCAGAGGCAAAGCCCTCCCTCCCCACCACGACGGGGAGCTGGCCCTCGGTGATGGGCCGCTGGGCAGGTGGCTTGTGCTGGACTCTTCTGCGGTCAGAGGACACAGCAAGCTCTGAGTGTTTCTGTGCTTCATCCAGGGTGATGGGCACTGGGGAGAGAGAGGAGGAGCCATTAGTGGCTACTGGGCAAGAGGGCCAGGAGCAGAGATCCTCATGAGAAGAGGGACCTGGTGCCTCCTAGAGAAAGCACTGGAAGGAGAGCTCCTGCTCCCAGCTCAGCCTGGAGACTAAGCCTGGCTTCTAGCCCGAGGCTGGTGCCTCTTTCCTCAGAGGCAAAGCAGGACAGCTTCATTCCCAAGCCTGCTGCTCCCAGCTCTGCCCTCTGAGACCTCGGCCATGGGTGTAGCGAGACACAGGGGAGCATCCAGCCCATGTCCATGTGCTTAGCAGAGAGCAATGTTTTGGGCAGCCTGTTGCAGAAGGATCAAAGGGGACTTGCCCAGTCCTTTCCTTTGCTTCCAGCCCTTCTGTCTGATTCCACCTCCACACACTTACCCATGTGGCTTCGAGCTCTTCTGAACTCTGTTAAAAAAGGAAACCCAAATCAAAAGCGAATACGGTGTGTTCAAACGCCAAAACAGTCATTATGGGTCCATGTCCCTCTCATGTTGTTAGCTCAATGCCCCTTTTTTCTCTAGCCTCCACACTGTGTATCACATCTCTCCAGATGTACTCAGACATATCACAATTCTTAGTGTCAAAGTTTAGACTGGTCTGTCCACTAAATGAAAGACAAATGCTCTCTGTTAATCCCCTCTTCCTCAGCAGAAGGGGAAGGGAGAGAAACTTAAAGGTAGAAGAAGAAATAACACAGCTTTAAATAAATGTTAACAATCAAAACAAAAGAAAATATTAATAAGAAAATAATGAAATATTAACAAGTATGTTTAAAATCAATGTTGATTTTCCAGGATGAAGATCATGTCACCCGCCAGCACTGGGACTGGACTCAGTGGCAGACAGGAAGTGGATTCAAGACCTGGATTCAGGAAGACACGGATTAACATCAAAGGCAGAAGAATGGAAAGTGTCCTTCTCAGATGTTGGCCATCGAAGAAGAGAGTCTGACCTTTACACTCAGCATGAGTTAGATGGGATGGAATACCCCATTGGTCACTTTTGGGTCACTTCTCCTTTCCCCTTCTCCCTACAGGTGTCACCCCTCTACGTTCTTCTGCTACTGACCCTCCAACTTGGTAAATAAGAATGTTAGGTGACCCTGGTTGTTACAGCACGACATATAATCAGGAGCCTCTGCACACCATCCTTAGTACTAACTATAGACATAAGACTTTATGTGGTAGAAGCGCACACTAGGTCTGAAAAACATACCACTAATTTCAGAGAGTACATTCAGTTAGAAGAGATCTAATTGAAAAGTAAAATTCCTTAAAAGGAAAAGGCTCTGCTTTGCGAGGACTGTGGGGTCCAGGGAAGACGCTGCTCCCAACCACAGACAGACTTGTGTGCAAAGAGGCAGAGGAAAGGAAGATGCCTTGACTTACCCAGTTCTCTGCTTAGTGTATCTGAAACAGAAACAGGGAGTGTTATGGGCTGTGGTTTGGTCAGTGAGAGGACACTGCCACTGCTGGATCCAGACAGATACCCGGGGAGAAGAATGATGACCAGAGAGCAGGATAACTGGTCACCAGCCATGGCTGCCACAGGGCTGTTGCTCTGCCAGGCTCTGCAAACCTTCTTCCAGCAGATGCTGGGTGCTCAGCTGCACGCGGCCACGCCAGAGCACGTGGAGCAGCGTGAGACGTCCCTGTGAGAGCAGGTGAGGCAGCTCCTGCAGGGGCTGGAGCAGGCTGCCTTTGCCTGGGCAGCCCCGCTCCTCCCTGCCTTGCAGCAATGGCACTTCTGGGCCACTGCTGCTCTTCTCCTCCTCCTCCTGCTCCTGGGGCTCTGCTGCTGGCTCAGGACAAGGAGCCGCATGCCAGGCAGCAGCAGCAGCAAGAAGGAGGCAACGCACCATGGAGAAGGCTGAAGAGGAGGAGG